ACTCAAAAGAGTTTGCCTGTTGTCATTCACTTATCAAAAACATGTTTAAATACATTTTGTTTGGAATGAACCAGTGTATATATGAACTGGAACTGTAGTAGCAATACTTTTTGACTGGCACTTGTTGATATGGAACTAATTCTAACATATACTAATATATGTATGTACAAAACCCTCTGGAAGGACGCACAAAAATCAGGAGTAATGTAAAAACTGGAGTCTTGGCATTAAGACTAGGAGAGATTGATGTTTTTATACTATATTCTCTATCATACTTCAAAATTTTAATTAATCACATAAAAGTATAACTTTACAAAGGAAATAACACTTATGCAAATAACCAGATTAACTTTATTTAGAATTTCCTTTGCCCTGATGTGTCTAATATATAGCATATTGATGTTGGTAGTTGTAATGGTGTTAATTTTCAATTCAGAGCAACTTCATGTTACAGACTAGAATGGCCCCATAGGGTTTTCTTGGCTGTTAATATGTAATAAAGCAGATTGCCAAGTCTTTATTCCTCAGAGTTGCTGCGTTGGTTCAAATTGCAACCTTTCAGTTAGCAATTAAGTTCTTAATATAGTGTGGCGCTGTGGGTTAATGCACCAGACTGCAAAGCCATTTGAACTGCAAGCTCGGTGGTTCAAGCTCACTAGCTGCTCCTCGGAAACTCTACACAGGGTCGCTATGGGTAGGAACCAATTTGGTGGCACTTAACAACAACATATATTGTAAGCAATCTATAATCATGACATTTTAATAAAATGATAAAATTGACCCAAAATATTTTACACATTTTCAACAACAACAAAACCCCCCCCCCCACAAATATAAACTTACTTTAGAAAAGGAACAAGAATTCTAAAGTATTCCAGATTTAAGTCTAAATTTATGATTACTATTAGATTAATGAATTTAGACTTCCTCTCAAAACTCGGACAATTTCTTCACTTCTATAGATGTTTTCTAATCTAAAAAATTACAATGGTAGTGCTAAGGTGGGAGTGAGGTTTAAATAAATACATTTTCAGGTATAAAAATTTCTGGATAAAATATTCTACATTTTAAAAAAATTAACAGTTTACATACAATCCACCTATCGTAGAATTTAAAGATTTTTAGTATATTCAGGTTTTGCAAAAATATCCATCTCAAAGTCCTGCGAAAATAATCATAATAAAGGAATAAAATCAGTGCAGCACATACAGATTATTTAAATGAAATGGCTCATACAGTTGTGCAAGTACTAAATCAATGGGTCAAATATCAGGTGGAAGCTTCTCCTGACACATGAACGTGGGGGCTGCCAAACCCCAAGTCAACAGGTCAGGTAGGCTCCCATCCCAACAACCAGAAGTCACAGTATTATGTAGGATCCAGAGAGATTTTCCAGTATATCCATAAATATTAGATACAGGCCACACTCCTCCATTTTCAACTGAGTGGCTGTTCATGTCAGAGCCAATCATGGAGGATGGTTTAATGTATATCTACCAAAGCTGGACAGTGAATAAGTAAGAGGGTAGAAGAACTGATGCATTTGAGTTATGGTGTTGGAGAATATTGAAAGTGCCATGGACTGCCCACAGAACCAACAGATCTGTGTTGGAAGAAGTGCAGCCAGAGTGCTCCTTGGAGACCAAGATGGCCAAACTTTCTCTCTCATACTTCGGACATATTGTCAGGAGGGACCAGTCGCTGGAGAAGGATATCCTATTTGGTAAGGTGGAGGGTCAGAGAAAAAGAGGAAGACCCTCAACGAGATGGATTGGCCAGGTGGCAGCATCAATGGGCTCAAGAGTGGCAACAGTAATGAGGTTGACCCAGGATCAGGCAGTGTTTTTGTTCTGCTGTGCATAAGGTCGCTGTGAGTCGGCACCGACTCGATGGAACCTAACAACAACCAAGCCACTGAATATCATGGCCAATCAAGTTAATATATAACCTTAACATCACAGTTTTAGAATATTTTCGTTTCTCCCCATTAACAAGCATTTCCCTTTCCCAATCCTCGCTTCTAGTCTTATTGTTAGGTGTTCTTGAATCTGTTCTGACTCACAGTGACCCTGTATAAGGTATCCAAGGAGCAGCAGGTAAGTTCAAACTGCCAACATTGTCGTAAGCAGTTCAGTACTTATTTTACAGTGCCACACCAGGACTCTCATAGAGTCCTTAAATATTGCAAGTACTAGGCAATCCCAAATTTATTTTTAATAGTATCTTCTGTTGTAACTCATATATAATCTTTTGTGGCTGATTTCTTTTCATTCAGCAGGTTTTCAAGATTCCTCCATGCTACAGCATGTATCAAGAAGCTCTGATAGTGCAGTGGTTGAGTCGGGCTCAACCAGCTGCTCTGTGGGAAAAAGATTAGACTTTCTGCTCCCATAAAGATTTACCACCTCAGAAATCCTATACAGCGCCACTACGTGAGTTGAACTGACTCCATGGCACATAACCACCCACCATCACAGCATATATCAGCACATCATTACTTTTCATAGACAATAATCCACTGAATGGATTATTATACCATTTTCTGTTTATCCATTTATCAGGTGACAGACATTTGGGTTGTTTATAGTTTTTGGCTTTTATGAATAATGTCATGAAAATTTGTGGAACTTTTTTAAAATTTATTTTTCTTGGGTATGTGCCTAGGAGGGGAACTGAACTCTCGAGGAGCAACTAGACTTTTCCAAATAGCTGGTTCATTATAAACTCCTGGTGTGGCACTGTAGGTTAATGTGCTGTACTACAAAGTCAGTTTGAGCCGCAAGGTCAGCAGTTCAAGCTCACCATTAGTTTCTCAGAAACCCTATATAGGGTCCCTATGGACCCCAAGGCACTTAACCATTTCTCTACATCCTTATCAAAACTTATCATCTGGATTTTTTATTATAGCCACCCTAGTTGGTACTGATGGCACTTAACAACAACAATAGGTGTGAAGTGATAGCTCATTGTGGTATCGATTTGCATTTCACTAATGGCTAGAGAGGGTGTTGTTGTTAAGTAACATCCAGTCAGTTCTGACCCATAGCGACCCTGAACAGGGTTTCTGAGGCCATAAATCTTTACGGGAGCAGAAAGCCTCATCTTTCTCCCGCGTAGCAGATGGCAGTTTTGAATTGCTGACCTTCGTAACCACTACGCTACCAGAGCTCCAGGATAACCAATGAATTATAAATCATAAAGTTAGTGATTTGCGCCCACCAGCAGCTCTAAGGGAGAAAGATGAAGCTTTCTGCCCTCCCAAAGACTTTCAGCCTCAGATACCCTTTACAGTATCACTGAGTCAGAACAGACTCAATGGCACTTAACCATAGTTAGTGAAGAGTCCTAGTAGGACAAACAATGGACTGCTAACTGCAAGGTCAGCAGTTCAAATCCACCAACCCTTCCTAGGAAATCCTATATAGGGTCTCTCTGAGTAAGAACTGACTTGATGGCACTTAACAACAATGGTTTGTGAGGTTGAAATGTTTTTTCATGTGGTTATTGGCCCTTTGTAGAGAAATGTATAGACATTTTGACCATTTAAAAAACTGGATCATTTGTCCTTTTATTGAGTTAAGCATTTTTTATATGTTCTACATACAAGTCCCTTATGAGATATATAAATCACAAATCCCATTTTGTGGGTTGTATCTTCACTTTGATGGTGTCCTTTGAAACATTGTTTCTAATTTTGCTGAAGACTAATTTGAATTTTTCTTTTGTTACTTGGGCTTTTGGTTACATATCTAAGAAACTGTGGTCTGATCCAAGGTCACAAAATTTTCTCCAAGGAGTTTTATAGTTTTATCTCTTACATTTAGATCCTTGAGTTATTTTTTGCATACTTTGTGAGACAGGAACCACATTTCATTATTTCCTGTGGACATTCAGATGTTCCAGTAACATTTGTTTGAAACTTCTTCTCAATTTAATTGTCTTGACCCTCATGTAGAAAATCAGTTGGCATAAATGAGAGGGTTTATCTTTGTAGAAAGTTTTTAAATCAGGAAAGTAAGTCCTATTTTTTTTTTTTTTCCTTTTTCATGATTGTTTTAGCCATTCTGGGTTAATTAAATTTCCATACCGTTCAAAGAAGCCAGCTGGAAATGATGGTGATTGTAATGAATCTATACATCGATTTGGGAAGGATTTCTATTTTAATATTGAGCTTCTAGTCAATTAGTATTTCTTTCCACTTATGCTTTCTTTCTTTCACACATTTTGTAGTTTACAGAATATAAATTTTGTATTTATTAAAAGTTGATTCCTAAGTATGTATTTTATTCCTTTTGCTGCCAGTATAAATGAAATTTTCATTTCATTTTGGTATTATTCATGTGAAAGTAAAGAACTATAATTGACTTTAGTGTATTGATGTTTTCACCTGTAATCTTGATGATTTCATTATTTTAAATTTATCATATTAAATAGATTCCTTAGAATTTTCTATATACTACAGCTTATCATCTACAAATAAAAATAGCTTTACTTCTTCCTTTTCATTTTGGATTCCTCTTTACAGCATTTCAGACTGCTACTAAATATAGACTCCGCTAATAATAAATATAATAAGTGCTAAATAATGAAATTAATAAAAGCCAACATTGCATATATATAGATTCATTTTTTAAAAAAGCAAAAATAAAAGATACAACTAAAGAATAATGAATTTGGATATTAAAAATGGTAGAAGCCAGTAGTAAAAATATGAAGGGGCTTTAAAAAGATGCTGGAAAAATAGAATGAAAGATAATGGAATTTTTCTATAAAATTTTAGAAGCTCCCTTTCATATATTGCTGCATGTTTTCACCATAAACATAATATTTTAAAACTGATGTTTTAGGTAACAATTTTTAAAAATTATAATTATGATTAAAATGGCCAGGGTGTTTCAGGAAATACAGAACCACATTAGTTTGTCTACCAAATATTAATTAGACATTATTATTATGCCTCTGCTAATTGCAAAGACTATTAGAGCAAAAGTTATATTTAATTATTTTAAACTACAAGTGCTTTGGAACCTTAGTTTTAATCTCTGACATAAAGGAAGAGGACTATCCAAACAAGTATCAAGGTCTTCTTTGTCCTTAGGACATTGTAGGAAATGCTGAGAACTTTGTGCTGGGTCTACAGAATAGTTTACTTCATTTCCAGATATTTTATAAACTTGGACATACTGTTCAGTTTCTTTAATATGTAATTTTTGGTTACTCACTTTATTAGGGTCAGTTCTCTTGAGTTGGGTTGGGTTTTGTTTCTGAGAACACGACTTCATTTTTTGAAACGTATATTTAGATTTCTCAAACACTGAGTCACTTTCTTCATCAGAGGAATGTCTGTCAGGGCAAACACTCTTCATCACAATTTTCTGAGTGGTTTGGATATTAGCTTTTCTACCATGATTTAAAACGGTATTTATTTTCTCATTTTCTTGACGCAGCTGGTCTTCTTTTAATACTTCAGAGTTTCTGGATCCATTCTGTGAATTAATTTTTAGAAGATTCTTTGAAAAATGTGATGGACAAACAAAACTGCTGTTAGCAACGCATGGCTCTTTCACCTTAAGTAGGGACAAAGTTTTTAGACCAATATTTGGTTGTACTTTATCCTGAGGATATGATGATTTTATACGGACTCGTTCCTTTAATGGCAAATCTTGAATATGTAAATCAGTAATGCCAGACAGTAGATGTTCTCCAGGACTAGTCTTTTGAAGATCCTCATCTGCTACTTTATTGATGTTTGTGGTGTACCATTCAGATTCACATGACAATTGTTCTGAGATATTTTCAACGCTGTTGGGGATGGTTATTTCAAGTTCTGATTTTAGATTATGAGAGATAACATTCTTTTGAGGAGCTGGAGAATTACTAAAAGAAGTACTTTCCCAGTCAATGGTGCTCAAGTGTAGATCATCAATCACAGATATGTTATGGGAGAAGTGGTTTGGCTGACTAGCTTCTGAAGTTAAAAAGTTACTGACATTTTTAACTTCATGTACTACCAAAGGTCTTGGAGAAGACATTAACTTATCTTGTATATCTAAACAGGAAGCATCTTCAGGTAAAAGAAAGCTATTTGGTGACTGAGAAATATATTCTTGGGGCAGCTTAGAATCTGGAGAAAATTCCAAATATAATTTAGAACTCTGCTTAGGAAAAGTTACACATACAGGTTTTAAATTTATGTGTGACTGAAAACGTGTATCATCTGATTCAGGTAAATAGTTTTCTTTAGGCTTTAGTTTCATACCTGGAAAGAATAAAAACTTAATTAAAATCTATTGCTTTTCCTTAAGTTGGGTTAAAAATAAACTAAAGCATTAAGAACAGACATATTCTACTTGAGCATTATCTTTTTTTGTCTCAGTATATTACTGGAATTATTATAAGCTGAAGACTATAAAGCACTTTCCTTCGTAAACAACATAATAACTAAGTAGCTTTCTTTACCAAGTTCTGGGAAATAAATACCAATTATTTATAACCCAAAATATGTTATACATGGTAGGTGTTCAATAATTGGTTAATACATTATTATCAGTACTTAAGTTAGTAAACACAGAGCAAAACTTTTTAGCTTTTAAAGGTTTTTCGGCTTCGAAAGAATGTTAAGATACAGAAGGAAGAATACAACCCTTATCCTTGATTTTATAGAACTTTCAGCAAAATTTAGATTTGACTCAAATGTAAGTACTTCCCTTCATAATGTTGGAATGTATCCTAAATAGCTACCCAATTTGATACTTACTTTTTTGTATTTTTCCTTTAATTCCTAACTTTTGTTTTTGGTAAACAGCAACAATCTCAGGATAGGCTGCTTCAAACAATAATTTTTCTTCTATTGTTTGGAGAACCAATTCTCCATGCTGTTTATCTTCTATAGCATAATGTTCTAGAAGAATAATAACATAGCAAAGTCTTAATTACAGATTTCAGAAATTCAATTTTTCTCAGGTAACTAAGTTTATCAAGTAAACTAAATCATTCACAAATGGAATGCTCATTATAAATCTTCCTGTGTAACTTGTCTATTAAAATAAAATTATTTAAGGTTCATCGTATTTGTTATTAGACAAAGCCTATTTAAAAGAATATAAGCAAACTATGAAATCAACCATGATGCATGTCTTACGTCTTTCCTTTATCTTTTATACACATATTTAATATAAAACACTTGCTAAATACATATAGTTAAATGTTTATATAAAACATTTTGCGTAAAGTGAACACATACCAGGCTTTCCCCATTCTACTTCAAAGCAATGAATTCCATTTCTGATTCGGGTCTTAACAATTCTGAAAAAAAAAAAATTCAGATGATAAGGTCTGACTGCAAGAATTATTTGAAAATCATTTGAAGCTTCTCAATCTGTAGATTGAACTATTTAATATTATTCCATCATCCTTCAGGATCTATTACTGTGTTGTTGAAAGATTTTTTGTCACTTTTGAAGTTTATCTTTTTTCTTTGAGACCCATCCAATTTTATATTTGGAAAAATTTCAAATTGTTGGAAATGCTGCAAGAATAGCGCAATGAATGCTCATATATCTTCCACATTGATTAAAAAATTTTTAACAGTTTTTCACATTTGCTTTCTCTTTGCATATATACTTTTGCTCTTGTATTTAACAAAAAATTAATTGAAGACATCCCTCATGACACATCTCACTCAAATACTGCAGGCAATCTCTACAGAGTTTTCTCCTACATTGACACAATACAGCTTAGGAAATTTAATGCTAGTACAATACTATTACCTAATTAATATATAGCTCATTAAAAATTTCTCAATTGTCCTAAAATGTCCTTTATGGCCGAATTCAATCAGGATCATATTAATTTAAGTGTCATGTCTTCTTAATCTAAGTCTAGAAAAATTATCTAGTTGTTTTTGTCTCTTTTGCGGCACCCACAGTTTTAAAGAGTAAAAGATGGTTGTTCCCCATTTTGGAGTCATCAGATTGATTCAAATATTTTATAGATGCTGTGGTGTCTTTCTTAGTGCACCTATCAGGAAGCAAATGAAATCAGTTTATTGTGTTATTGTTGGCATTAATGATTTAATTAAATCATATCCACTGGATTGCTCCATGTTTTAAAGATTTTCCTTTGTAATTAACCTGTGGAGTGATACTTGAGATCATGTGACCATCCTTTTCCCCTAACAGTTTTTCATTCAATGCTTTTAACGAGCACTGTTGATTGTTACATACTTGTTTGGTAATTTTAAAGATTTTCCTGTTATCCCTCATGTTTACAGTATGTCTGATTATAAATTTATTTTTATTCACTGAGCTTATGCTAGGAATATAATTTGATGTGAGAACTTTCTCAAGTTTTGGAAAATTCTCAGATGTTGTGTCTGCAAATATAACTGTCCCACCTTTATTTCTGTAAGCTTCTAGAAATATACTGTTGTTGTTAAGTGCCTTTAAGTCAGTTCCAAATCACAATGACTCTGCATAGGGTTTCTGAGCAGCTGGTAGGTTTAAACTGCCAACCTTATGGTTAGCAGTTCAGTACTTAAGGATCATGGAAACCCTATTAATTAGTTCTCCTTTGTCCTATAGTCACCAAGAGTTGGAACAACTCAACAGCAAGTTACTGGGTCTCTTTATCTTATTAATATTGTCTTGCAATTTACATATTTTGGCCAAGCTCAGCCTAGAGTCTATTGCTTCTTCTTTCAACAACATTTTCTTTAAGATTTCTAATCATTTGTTGTTTTTCTTTGAAACTTTTTATTGTGAATTGAGTGAAAGTTTAAAGAGCAAATCATCAGCTTTACATTTAACATTTCATGCACTTCATGTCATCTTAACGACTGCAATCCCCTCCATGTAACAAGTTATCTCACTTAATCCCTGTGGTTTTTGTTTCCATTCCACCCTCTTTCCCAACTGTTGTGAACTTTGTCCTTAAGTAAATGTTGCCCTTTTGATCTTGAATGGTTGACTATTTCATGGTAAGCATATCTTAGTAGTGTTGTTGTTCTCCCATATATAGCTATTTACTGCTTGGCTGTAAACATCCATTGATAATTGGAACATGGAATGTACGAAGTATGAATCTGGGAAAATTGGAAGTTGTCAAAAGTGAAATGGAACACATAAACATCGATATCTTAGGCATTAGTGAGCTGAAATGGACTGGTATTGGCCATTTTGAATCTGACAACCACATGGTTTACTATGCCGGGAAT